TTATAAAAGCAGTGATCTTGGAAATATAAAATTTGTTTTTATGACATGCTTATTACGCATTATTACTGTATTTTTATTACATTCTGAAAATGGCAACACTCTTCCAAGATCTCACTTTCGTAGTATGTATCACTTTGAATAAGCCTATTATAAGACAAGGCTCCTATGTTTCAAGGAACAGCATGAAGGTATTTAAGAAGCCAACTCAAAGAGTTCCTCCTACACGAGCATTCAGGTCTTGAGCAGTCCAGGCAAACAGTGCACGTTACAACAAAGCTTAAACTTGTTCTTCATAATAATTTTAAAAACAATACTAGCTGCCTATTTAATTTTAAAAACAGGAAAAAACATCCACCTCCCTTTCCATTTCTTATACCAAGTCTTGAAGTTTAAATCTCCTCGGTGTGATAGATAGGCTTGCTTTGATCTGCTTAGCTGCTGGTCCCGTGCTGCCCAGGGACAGCTCTGTCCACCATTAGGGAATTCCCTCCCCTCCCCCCGAGAATCCCCTGTAACATTTTGTGAACCCCAATTTGGGAACCACTGCCCCAGACCCATTATCAGCTGGATACTCTCTCTTCATTGGATTTCTGAAATGGACTTAATATCACCCCACAACTAAATGTTATTTTCAGGTAGCACAAAAGGAGTGCACTAAGATATAACAGAGCAACTGACACCACTTCTCCACCATCCATTATGATACACATACTAGAAGGTAGGTCAAACAAGGCTTGTATTTAGAATAGCTAAAACAGAACCCTAAAGCCCTAATCCTACAAATACACATTTGCTTAACTTTACTCAGATGCTTGAAGTTAAGCATGTGCATATTCACACAACAGTGGCCTAAAACGTACTGAGGACTGAGTTTCTGACTTTGGTAAGGTCGGAGGTCTTTTTCTGCAGTAAAAGCAGCAGCCAGAGTAAAAAAAGCAGCTATGAGCTAAGTTGCAGAGTCTCACATCCTCAGGTTCCATCAATTGCATCAGAACAGAGTAATATCGGACTGCTAAGAAGGTGTTCCTGTCCTAATCGTACCCACTATCACCACATAAAGAAACAGATAAGATTTTTAAAGAAAACTGATAACTTTCTGTCTAGCAAGAAACCACTTATCAATAGTTGTGATTGTGAAATCCATACTTCTCTCTTGTTTTGATATTGTTTATCTGTATTATCCTGTCTGGTTTTTAATTGTTTCTTTCTGCTGTGTAAACTGGTTTCATAACATTTAAATTGACTCTTGTACGTAGTTGGGAAATGGGCTAGGACTGGTTAAAGAATTGTTTCGTAATGGGCTTGCATTGTTTTTGTAGTATTTTAGTCTAAAATGACTGGTTAAGATATAGCTAAGTAGGACCCAAGTTTTAACTATATAAATTGGGGTCGAAAAGGAAGTTCTTTAGAACCTAACTCCAGAACACGGCCCAAGATCAGAGCTGCCAAAACCATCATACCCTGATGATCATACCGTACAGAAGCTGGAGTCCCAGACAACTTGATCCTGACTGGCCACCAGGAAAAGTCTGTCCCCCTTACTGGGAGTGGTGAGCACTGTATGCTTAGCATCTGTACTCTGTTGATCAACTGTTAATAAATATAGGTTAAGGAGATTACTGTTTCACTGGGAAAAGGTCTGGCAAACCAGCAGAAGGTGCCTGTGTCTAGGACAGGTAAGAGTGAGTGCCTTACGTCCCGAGCCCAGGACGGGAAAGGATGGGGTGCCTAAATTTACAGGGTTATGCCTTGAGCCCCCGGTACAGTAAAGGTGGGGTGCCCTAGATTCTGTGGGTAACACCTTAACCTCCACAACCAGTTACTCTAGCAAAGACCTGCCCCTTCATTACTGCTCAGTTTTAAATTGCATTTTAAGTATTACTCAGGCAATGGGACATTTCTAATAGATAAGTAACTGCTGGGAAGTTGAAAGCCTAATTAATTATTTCAGTATTTTACTCTTTTTCCTCAGTGTTATTATTTCATAATGAATTTTTTTTAATGTGAGAATGGTGGTAACGCCATATCAGCAAATTTAACAGATTTCCTGTAGAGCAATCTCAATTCTTTTTGCTTTCAAAAATGTCATTATGTTACTAATGAGCAACTGACTCAATACAATTAAAAGCAAGTAAAGGAGGTGAGGGACAACACGTAAGTTAGACAACTGATTTGTGAAGCTGTAATAAATAAAAAGGTCCATTCTTTGAGAAATGATATAAAGAAAGTCGCCCGACTGGATATTATATTGCCTGGTCTGTGAGGAAAACCCAACTTTAAGAACAAACTTGAAGCCTCACACTTCTGAGACAGCTAGAGACCAGGTGAGTTACAAGATACCATGTTTGATTTCTAGTAATACAGGAGGGAAAGAAGGTCACTAAAAGTGTCATTAAGATGGCATCCCTCATTGAGGCAGTTCTTATTGCCAACCAAGGATGCAGTCTGATGACACCAGATAGAAATAACAGAAGAAAACACTAGCCATTGAAGTTCTATTATTATAAAGTTCTGTAATCTTAGACTAACCGAAAAAAGATTAACTACAGTTCAGTTAACCAAAAGAGTATAAGAACTGTAGAACCTGCCTAACAATTTTGAAACCTTTCTGATTTACAGTACTTTCTAGTAAGAAGTTACTTACTTGTACCAAATTATAACAGCAACTTTACTATTATTGGTTTTACTTATGTTTATTATATTTAAATCCTCACATAAAAATGCAAATAATGTTCCTTCGTAACTAGAGTTAGTTATTTCTAATTTATAATCACACTGGAGTTTTTCTCCAAATTTAAGGTCAGTTGTATGGAACTAGGGAAGATGAGCCACATTTTCCTTTTAAATTGCAGAAGGAAAAAAGACTTTGCAGGTCAGGCAACCTTAAATACACACAGATCATAATACGTGCATATTAACTTCACTTAGAAGTTAAATTGTAAGTATAGCTGTATTTCAAAAAAATAAAGTGTATTGTGTACATTTAACAATTTTAACAATGTTTCAAAAGGCTCAAAATACCGGCACTGGACAATTTTCTGGGGATTTCATTTTCAGATAAAATGGTGAAACAAAGCAACTGAATTGCAAATTACACAAGCATTCAAAACTTTTTTTTAAAGACAATTACTTACAATAAGTTTACTGAAAATTTGGAAGTGTGAAGTTTATACATCAGACATTAAAATCACATTACATTACCTTTTTATGTTTTGCTCCACGGAAGTGTGACTGAAGGCTTATAGAACTCATACACGGAACTTTACAAACCTAAAGAAATTAATTACAGTCAGTTACGCTACAGCCAACTTTAGTATAAAAATACTGTTGTGCAAGCACAGCAAATAGGTCTGCAATTATGGACGAAAACCGTTCATTATATTTTACTATTTTAAGAAACTGGTGAAGGCCTCTTTGAAGAAGGCTTGTGTGAGAAATTTAAAGTAAGACACCAGTGAGTGACAAAGAGCAGTACATAACTAATCACATTAAGCCTACTTAGACATCAGGAAAGTGAAGATATTAAAAACAGCACCAGATCTGTGTAAACTGTTTACGGTTTTTTTTTTTTTTAAACTATCAATTAACTAGTTTCTGGAATCCCCTCCCCCCCAGATTTTTGACAGTATCCTTTTAACTCAGTAGTTCCCACACCGTTCTGCAGAGTATTGGTGGGTGGTCTGTGCTGAAATAGATGATCACATGATGCAACGGGCACGGAGAAGGAGCTGTAAACAAGAAGGACTGTAACGCCAACACAAGGGGGGGTTTGCAGTGTGGGAGGGGGGCTCTGGGCTGGGCCTTGGACAGGGGGTTGGAGTGCAGGAAGGGGTGAGGGCTGCAAGCTCTGAGAGGGAGTTTGGGTGCAGGAGGGGGTCCGGGCTGAGGCAGAGTGTGGAGGTGTGGGGTGCTGGCTCTGGGAGGAGGCTGAGATTCAGGATGC